GAAGTGCTGAAGTGAGGGTTCCCAGGTAATGTCAGGCAATGTAATGTCAGGTAATTCTCAGGTAATGTAAATCTGGAAAGGCCACTAAAATTGGGGAGTAATGTCATAACACCCCGATATATGACTTGAGTCAATGGCTCTAAGCCACTTGTCCAGGTCCCTTGACACTTCAGCTGTTTTGTTCAAACCACACATAGTTCTTCTCTAGACATTTGTTTCTTTATCTTGCCCTGTTGGTATTTGCTTGCCATTTATTTTGAACTGCATTGGAGAAAGCTTGCCATCGACCAAAACCATGCTTCTTGACCTGGTTGGTTTTTAACTTCATGCAAGTCCAGTTTACCATTCTTTCCATACCTAATAGAACCCATCTTGTACCCACTACTGAACTGGTCATAACTGTGATGTCATCCATGAAAGCACTGTATGGTAAGTGTTTTACACCTTCATTTGCTTTTGAAACCTTACACTGCATCATCCCTGCTTTGAGCAGTAAGTTCATTGATGTTACGAAGAGAACTACTGATACAGTGCAGTCTGCCACTATGCCTTTCTCTCATGAACTCTGCTAATTAGTGGTATAATTGCCAAATGTATTGTGCAACTTCAAGGAGTTTGTGTGTCCCACTGTCAGATTGACTACATCTGTTGGTTTTGGTACGTGAAAGTTAACTTGTACCTCTAGTATCAGTTGGTGAGGGACACTAGGTAGACCTTAGGTCCAGCCAAACTACTTATTCTCTTTCTTGGCTTCCTTCACAAGTTGGCTTATTGCTGCTATATGCACCCTTGATGTCTTGGGATATCACTTTTCTGAATGCTTGGCAGGCCAGTAGGAAATAACTGCGAGACTTGACCACAATGGCCCAGAAGATCTTTCCATCAGCATCCGATAATGATGTCTACTTGAACTGGTTCAGTCCCTCAAATTTTAGCTCCTTTGGAATGAAGCACCTTTCCGCCAAAGCCCAAGTCCTTGCTAGATTTTTCTTGTTCTGGATGCTTGTTAGCAATCACCATAGATGTATTAACAGCTTATGGCTGTTCTTGTACACCATGTATGCCTTCCTGATGATTGTTCTTACCTCATCAAGCTTGAAATCTGACTGGTCAAACGGTTTTGATGATAAATCTGGAGAGATGTCAATTGGGAAATTACTCGATGGCATATTTCGATCTGGGTCACTGTGTGCTGCCAAAGTATTTGCTTCTGCTTGATCCTGCGTATATGTCATACGAGCACTCTTTGGTTCCCTAACAAGTTTGATGTGAGCCTATAGAGATTTTCAAAGAGTGTCTTCCTGGTCCTACGCTTCTCTTTTAATCTCTTAAGAAGCATATGTTGGAGCTCTCTGATCTTTTTCACTTGCCAGTGTTGAAGCCGTCCACGAACACTGTGGGCTTCATCTCTCCTTCCGAAGAGAAGCTTTTGTCTTCTACTTGGCCCAACACAATGGTGTTTCACAGATGTTTCCTCCACTCACTGTCCTCGCATCTGGGATGGAAATCGTTCTAACTTGGACAAGAGGTAGCTTAGTGAAGAAGCTGGGCTCTGCATCCCACTTCTATTGGGTGCAAAACTGCATACCACCCTCTTGTCTTAGCCCCATCAAATAGGTCTTGGATTTTTAAGCTGATCAGATATTTTAATCGGTCAACTCTTCTGAAGGTACCATGAGCTCATTGAAGATGTTGGACCTCTGTGTTTTGACATCAGCACTGAGTTTCTGTAAGAAGTCAGCTGAGAGTCCAGTCGGATGTCTTGGATAAAACATTGAACTGAGGTAGAGGCTTAATACATATTGAGTTAATTATGTAGCTTTAACAACTAAATACTGTGGGTACCCATTTCAGTTCATTGCCTATCCTAAACTGATATGGGGATATGTGGTCATTCGTATCTGTATAGTACTTCGTCCAAAAGCGATACAGATTAAATATCTTTGGCTGAAATTTAAATGCCTGCCAAACAGACCAACAAGAATTTCTGAACAAGCTAGGAATAAGGAACATCACTGGGCTACTTTCTAAAAGTCAAAAGCTATATTTTACACCCGAGGGATTCACTCTATATAAACCTTGACAGGGGGTTCCTCTTTTAACATTTGGTATGGCAATGGATCCAAATTTTAGGATCTGGAATGAGAATGCCCCCATTTAATTATGACTTTTGAGGTATGACAATGGTCGGATTTTTCTACTTTGTGGTTCAAGAATGGTCATGGAGAATATGGTACCTCTGACTTGTGGTATGGGATTGGTCTAGTTTTTACAAATGTCCTTGTTGTTTTCATTTTCATAAAAGTTCTGCTTCTTCCAGGGGCTTTAGACATTTTGCATTCCAATGGTCTTATATTTTTGGGATATTTGGTATGGCATTAGTCCTATATTTGGACATTTGGTATAGCATTGGTCTTATATTTGGATATTTGGTATGGCTTTTGGGCGTTATTTCGGTTGGTATGTGAACGCATTGAAATTTGACAGATTGGTATGAGAACATAATGATTATGGGAACATAATGATATCTTAGGGCTCAGCCTAAGACAACTACAGAATTGTGTATTCAGTGAACCCCTGGGTATTTTACAGATGATACATCGACTATATAATAACATTACGGATTTTCACGCCCCTTTTCAGAACAATAATCATTTGAAAGGCCATGCCTTGATTTCTGACAATGTTTTTCTAAAACTTTCAATGCAAATATGTTCAAGCTTTCAACTGCAAATATGTTCAAAATGAATGTATACATTTAATATATTTTATATTCATGAGAGACCAAGACTGGTCACTCAGAGGAAAATGCAATATGTATTACCGCTGAAAAGGGGCAAAAATAATGATTGATGATGTCATATTTCATGCAAATATGGTGATTTACATAATTATTGTATCTTATAATGTGGGATATTGTGATACCTTCAGTTTGGTACCACTTACAGCTTTCAACTCTCAAAACTGTGAAAGTTATTGTACTTTGAAATGATTAACATCAATTCTTTCACAAGAAGTGCCACGCCCCTTTTCAGTAACATAATCATGTGTCTGACAATGTTTTTCCAAAACTTTCGATTGCAAATATGTTCAAAATTAATGTACCTATATATTTAAAATCATTAATGTTCATGAATGATTAAGACTGATCACTTAGGCAGAAAGGTATAATGCGGTACCGTTGTAAAGAGGCAAGAATTATGATTGACGATGTCACATTTTATGCAATTGAGACAATTTGCATAATTATTGCATCTGATGATATAGGATACTATAATAGCTTCATTTTGGTACCACTTACAGCTTTCAATTCTCAAAACTGTGGAAGTTATTATACTTTGAGATGATTAACATCAACTCTTTCAAAAATTCAAGATGGCCGACAAGATGGCCGCCAATGGATACCATGGGACAATATTTCATTCTGGGAACATGCAAAAATCTTTAGTATGGACCTTTAGGATTACAAAAATGTACATTAAAAAATACATCTTTCGGGTGCATGGGGACCATACCTTCCTACTAGACTAATACACCACAAAAGCAAGACCAATTTGAAAGTAAGTTCATTGTTCTCAAGGGTACACTTCAAGTGAAAGCTACATTGCTACAGGGTGGCCTATCATTCTGAGACAAATGTATTATCCAACGATTGTGATTTTCGAAGCTAAAATATGATATCTTGAGCAGATGGAAATACATTCCCATGAGATATGTATATATAGTCAAAAGTGATAACTATTTATTGAGTGTAATGAAACGTATCCTTCGCTAACTGCTTTTGTTTGAGATAATTATCATGAAATATTTTTTAATTATTTTTTATGTGTGTCATTGATCCTAATCCACCCTGTAGTCTGGTGTTTGTAGAGCATTGCACCTCGTACAACTTATTCTCACAAATATCAAACCTCATTTACTAATTAATTTTTTGTGTGAATATAAGGAGTCCAAGCATTGCTTTTTTATGTTTACTGTATAGCTATATTTAGCTTTGATATCCATGATTTTTTAAAACAAAATCTCACCGTTAGATTTTGAGCTATTCCTGTTTACTCATTTTTCTAATTGGAAAACAATGCAAATCTCATTTTTTCAAAGGAAAAAAATTGAAATTCTAAGACGGTGAAAAATCATTAAAAAATACACAGATTCAGAATCCGGCAAGCATTTTCTCTTATTCCTCTCCGTAAAGAAGTTTTGTAAGGTGGTGGGTCCCTTTAATACATATTTTGTTTTGCAATCATGTTTTGTTGCCCTAAATGATGAAGACATTACAGAAATAATTTTTCGAATTTTCGATCACAAAATCTGTAATTTGATTGGATATCTACTGTCACGTGACAACTTATCACTAACATGTATGACACGATTATTTTATATAGATCTATACTAGTATTTATTCCTAAACAAAACATAAGATACTGAACAGAACATAAACACAAGTCAACATCCACCTACAATAGTACAATAAATAGAATAAAGTTTGATAATGAATTGGCCGAGTTTGTTACTTTTTATGTCCCCACCACATAGTGTGGGGCCATATTGTCGGCCTAGGCGCGTCCGTCTGTCCGTCCGTCTGTCCGTACGTCCGGGAGTTTTCTCCAAAACCGCTACAGATATCACCTTCAAATTTTCAGGGATAACTTATGAGTGCATACAGATGTGGATGAAAATTTTTTAACTCGATACCTACTTCCTGTCGGCCATTTTGAAGTCAAATGCTAAAATCCTTGTCTGCAAACTTTAAGAAAAACGGCTTCACAGTTGTTTTTAAAACTTTAACATCTTGTTCAGCTCACTTCATTCTAGGTCTGATTAGGTTTTGGACGCATTGACTTTTATCTTTGATCTACCTTCTGTAACTATTATCCCAACCTTGTATTATTCATCTATATAAGTTGACATAAAATAATGTACATTATATGATGATCCATTATGGTCGCAATAAAAAAATAATAAAGAAATATAATATTGATATACTACATGTACATTACCTGAGGTTGGTTTTACAGGTGACTTTAACATGGGACAGTTAAACTTTACAGATTTGGTTGGCTGCAAAACAAACAAAAAAATTGTTTAAGTGTTTTCCCATTGTTTTGCTTTTTTGTGTTTGTGCTTTGTATAAAATAAAGTGACAAAAACTCATTTATTTGTTACTTCCAAACAGAAAAGTCTTTTTTCTTCATTAATATCTTTTTGAAGTTAGTAAGGGTTAGTCTATTTTCCTCACAGCACTCTTTCTCGTACCTGTTAGGCGGTAAACAACATACAAATATATGTCATATTCCACAATGAATATGGCATATGCACTTGCGATGAATGACAGATTCACCAGCGGTATGCGGCATACTCACTCACCAATGAGAACGTGATACGGAAGTACGCAATTGTCAATTGCATCGAATGAACGAACGGGTAAAAGTTTATGAATTATTAGACTCCAGATTGAAAATCTGGAGTCTATTGTTTTTGCCTGAATTCTTATGATTCTTATCTACAAGATTTCTCAGTAACTTAGAGGCTTAGAGAAAATCTATCTATATGGTCATTTAGGGTATGTGACATAGTTTTTCGGAAATGAGGTCAAATTTTTATCTAGGCCAAAGGTCAAATTTCAGGTTTTTTGAATTTCAAATAATATCAGAGATCAAAATCTGAATTTAATAGGAACTTTTCTCAGGATTCCGAATCTGAAAACAAAATTGAAATCAAACATCCGGTTCAGGAGCTATGGTCTTTTGAAATCTCAAAAAATCCCTACCGACGTGTCACCAATGTAGCAACCTGATGTTAAGTCAATGGTAATCAATAGCCAATCATCAAAAAGTCAGTAAATTTTTGAGTGCTAAGGGTCAAGGTCAAAGTCTAGGTCAATTTTGTAAATTTTGAGATTACCTAGCTATTGATCAAATTTTGCTTTTAAAGTTGTGACGAACATAAATATTTTTTTAATTCTCACTTTCTCATCTATGTCAGATCATTTTATACATAAAAAATGGAATCTGGAGTCTTGAATTGAACTTGTTCAATTTCACCAATCTAGTTATAATTATTACTGAATCAAGAGTACAGTACATTGAATATATCAACTAATGCAGAAGAATCACTCAGCAATCTCATGTATTAAACTAACTCAGTAAATCCAGAATTCATATATTAGTATTCGAAGCACTAACCATATTGGTAATCCAGCGTCGTTTTAAATAATTAAGACAGTCGATTCTCGCAACCAATCAAATTAAGACTTTCTGTATCACGCTTTTACCGGCGGTATATGTCATACTCACCTCCGGTTTATGGCATATTCTGTAAGTGAGTATGACATATTCCGCAGGTGAGTATCGGGTATTCAGTGAAATCAATGTATTACATATTCACTACGGTATATGGCATATACTCACCTGCAGAATATGCCATATACCACAGGTGAGAATGTCATATTCACTCGTATCACAGATACCGCACTAAATATATGCCATATTCCGCGTAACAATACCCATCTTTTAAAAGATCCAAGAGTTCTGACTTTGTTTATTGAAAATATTTTAAGGTTAAATGAATTAAGTGATAGAGAGTGTAAAAATGTTGGGAGCGAACTTTTCAAAAAACAATGTTTCTCTTGCTTTGTTTATTTTCTTTTGAAAATGGAGATGTCTGATCGAATATATACTCCTCAAAAAAGTTAAGGACCAGTCTTTTTACATGTTTACATGTTAAACCCACAACTGTATCTTTAAATTCTATTTTCTAAGCCCGAAACGTAAGAAAACCTGATAATGTAAATGGATATGTACCTTTTTACACTCTCTATCACTTAATTCATTTAACCTTAAAATATTTTCAATAAACAAAGTAACTTTTTCCGAAGCTTAAAATAATGATCTGCCAAATTGAATATTCCATATTTATGAGCAACGGTGTATGCTGAGTATGAGTATCCTCAGCATACACTGTTGCAATAAAGTTGGAGTCTCCCGACCTTTTAAAAACAGACATGCTATGGAATTATGAGAGGTAAAAAATATTGTAGAATTGTGAAAATTTGTGAAAACTTATTTCCAACTTATTTCCACTCCTTCTCTTTTGGATATTTGGACATTTCAGCATATCTTGAGTCCTTAATTTTCGGCCTTCAATTTCATTTGTTGGATGATAAGTTTGTCATTAACTTACCATTTCACTGGAAAGTTTGACTCTCTCCTTAAAGGCATTCATTAGTGTTGCATTGTTTTGTATTTTTTGATACATCAGCATCCGCATATCTTCCATCTGGTTTCTTTTTAAATCATCAATATAAGCCTGCTGTCCATTGGCTGAAAAGTCATCAAGGTATTATTTTGATATGCAATGATTATCACAAATAATGTAAGTTAAAAGGATGAAATATAGCTGCTGTGTACAGTGGCTCTTTGTCCCTTTGATAGGGTGGTCAAGATTCGAGCTGTGCCATTGAATAATGAATACTGTACTATACATTCTTTCAAATTGACGTATAGATGGTCTTAAATATACATATATAGGAAACAACGCCTGAGTGGAATGAAGCAGCTACAATGCATTGAGTCTTGTGCTTAAATTCTTTTCACACATTGCAATATTCTATAAAATCATCTAAAAGGAACGAAATCACTAAAAGAACACATTTACAAAGAATTTTTTTGCAAGGGTCAAGTTGGCAAGTCATCAAATCCAATGTGAAAAATCCATTCATCACCATGACAACTGTTTAACTAGTGACCTTGCATGTGTTATTAATATTTCACACACTGTTCATTATGTGAATAATCTGTTCGGATTGGCTGGAATCAGCTACACCTTGCCTAGTTATATGTGAATGATTAGACACATGCTAGGGTGACCGTAGACACGCCCTTCATAAAATATCTCTCAAAATTAAAGACTCAACCTCTATTCAGGAAAACAGGTAGTCAGATAGTATTCTCTAAAATAACATGAGGTGCAAGGTATACTATAATTTTGAGCCTGTTTTGCTGAAGGATCCTCGGAGGATTTGGTGGAAAATCTTTAGATGCTGTATCGCTTAGTTATTGTCATATTAGAAATCTCTTATTCCATGTAACTCTTTTACAGTAAATAGATTTAAAATATTTTTGATGTGGGAAAACAGAAATTTGGAAAAATATCTATGAGAAAGTAAATTTTACTTCTACTATCCAATTTTCCTACATCAACAATATTTTTCATGTGGATAAATATATTAAAATGAGTCACAAATGTGAAAAAATAGTTGAGATTTCTAAATATGACAAGTGAAAAAATCACAAATTGTGGTTGATAAGCAGGGATTATCTATACTATCATTTTGAGGCAAACCGTCCCGGTGTAACAGATTTAAGTGTCCCACCCCGATCCCTACGGTTGGCTGTCAAATGGAGGACATAGTATCAAAGTCATGGTGTAGTCGAAATCGATTATCGGCATCTCCCTCACCGTGGCGTAATGGTATAAGCGTTGGCATAATGTGTATTTATTAATTGTTATTTGTGTTTATTAAGTCCCAGGTTCGAATCCTGCTTTGGTGTATCTTGTGTAAATATGTTAACCGTCTACACTGTTTATATTGTTAGTACCTCAGTGTAAATACTCGCATCTGATTGGTCAATTAGCGGTCAACATTTTTGCCTGTACCTCACTTGTGAATCATGGGATATCATATTATTGACCGCGTATGTTACTGTACTACACTTGTGAATTATGGGAAATATGACGTCACAATGTTTACAGAAAAAACATGGTAGTCGGACATTTTGTACACGTTGATGAAAGTGATATTTTGACTTTTCTACACGACGAGTATATACACTGGGGATGAACTGGAAACGAGGGAGGTTTTGCCTCGTATCAAAATGGCGGCGCGTGAAAAAATTTCATTCGGTAAGATTTTTGTTTTTTACAATTTTCGTGCTTTTATCCTTCAAATTAAAACTTAATATTTGGCAAGTAAATAGTTCATAAGTTCCGGTTTTATAATATGATTACAAATTAGAAATCAATACTGGCATTGCTGAGATATTTACATATCAATTCTCTCACTTAGGAAACGAGGCATGTTTCTCAAGGGAAACGAGGCAGCTATATAGCATTCTTAATTAAGAATGAAACGAGGCAACCATATTTAATTAAAAATGTTTTGTTTTTATTACAGAACGGGGCCTACAAAAAGAAGCGTCCCTGTTCAAATGCTATTTCTGTAACACAGGAAACGACAACGTTGCTGATAATTCACGATAGCGACATCATAATATTTATGCCATCGACCATTAACATTTTTCATATGGTTAATAATCTAGAAAATTTATGAATATTTCATTTACAAATGCATTACCATTTCTAGCATTTAAGAAAATACAAGGCATTAACATATGACACGTGTTGTAACTTAGTAATAACAAATAAGTCCATTTATCTGCTACCATGGTAACATACATGTATGTTCTAAGAAATACTTGAAAGTCATAATAAGTTTATAATTGTTCACAGTAAAATATGATGTCAGTCTAAGCGGTACGCATTTGTTCAGTTTTTGAAAGTTACTAAAATTGCTAAAGAATTTGCTATTGACGCAAAACGCCAGACGCCGAACTCCAGACGTCAGACGCCGAACATTTACACATTTCGTTGGACTATATGCAGAATACCATAATTGATAGTGACATAATAAGGAACATACAGACATTAAAGAATACAAACAGTAAAATCCAATGTACACCAATGAGACAATGCCAGTGTGCTCCTTGACTCTGCTATTTTTGTAATATAGGCGAGTCATTTAATTATTACCATGGCCATTCGTTTTTTATCGTATCTGGAATTATATTCTATCAAATATAGCCATCTCGAGCAACAACAATGCCCCATTTGCGCACGATTAGTAGGGAGGTTTAACGACACATGTTTTAAAGAGAAGTGTACGTAAACGTGTAAAATTGCAATCTTCAGAGAACTAGTTCTTGTCTTCAACGTCTTTATTTGCATGAATGATTACAAAGGTATCAGCTAAACTGTTTTAATTGGGTCTTTGTATAAGTCAATCCAGAACGGAACTATAGTTCCCAGGGGTCATTTCACGTTTACGTTCGCCATTTCTAAAATACGTGTAGCTTAAGCCCGGTATACACCAATGGGGCAAAATCCCACTTGCCCCATCGAGTCCCATCTTGCCCCATCGAATCCCAATTTGCCCCATCGAATCCCACGAAGTGCCATGGGACCTTGATGACTTTGGCCCATCGTGCCCCATGGAGTCCCATCAAGCCCCATGGAGTCCCATCAAATCCCACCGTGCCCCATTGGTGTATGTCGGGCTTCACACAACACGTCATATGATCGAAAATCCCACGATGCCCCATGGAAAGAATGAACATGTTCATTCTCGATGGGACTCCATGGGACTTCGTGGGATTTTGCCCCATCTTGCCCCATCGAGTCCCACCGAGTCCCACGTGGGACTTCATGGGACCTCGTGGGACTTGATGGGGCAAGATGGGGCAAAATCCCACGGATTCCCATGGAGTCCAACGGACTTTATGGGGCAAAATCCCAAAAGGTCCCACGCAATGTTAAGTCTATGGAGGTCCCAACTTGCCCCATTGGTGTATACCGGGCTTTAAGCTCCCTATTAAAATAGCACTTCTTTGAACGAAATTTTTCTTATTTGAGAGAACATTTTGACGATATATGCGCTACCATTGATAGCTCGGATAGCTGGCTCGTTTTCAGGACAAAATAAGCCTTTACAAATAATTTAGTTGTGCTATTGAGTTCAAATATGACATATCTTGGAAGTAATTAAACAAAAGTAAGGTCACCCCAAAAGTGGGTGTGGTAAAATATTGAAATTTCAAATATTATTTTCACGCTCAATATTCACTTAATGACCCTGATACTTATCAAAGACAATGTTCAGGTGTAAAATACCCTCCTTGATATTTTTCATGCAATTCTGATGAATTGATACAGAAATAAATACATTGTTATATTAAATTCGGGCTATTTGATGGCCTATTTTCAGATATTTGGCGCTAGAAATGCCAATTATTGCACTCAAATAGTTGGTTAACAATTTTTAGTTGCTCTTATGTCAGTAAACTATCATACATGTCATAATATTACTCGTTTAGTTGACAAGAGTATTCCATTTTTAAATAAAAAAATATTTACAATCCCATACTCAAATTTGGAGAGGGGTACCTTCGGTCTCTGTCAACAGTAGCTTCTCGGTTTACAGTATCGGTATACAATTTTGCCGGTTGACCTCTGGAGAGGTCAACAATTGTATATTGTATTGTATTTCATACCTACTGAGGTTCTAGGTACATAACGAGCGGGAATATATAGTGTATCTAGCCAAGGCCCGGGGCGGGATGGATACACGCTGTATCCATCCCGGCCCCGCTCCTGAAATTTTTTTTCACATTCTTTTCCAAATTTTTTTCAAAATCTTTTTTCAAAATTTTTTTTTTTCAAATTTTATTTTTCAAAATATGAGTTAAATGAGTTTGAAAATCTCACAAACTTAAAAAAACACTTTATAACACCAAGAAAATGACGTACCTAGAACATCAGTAGGTATGAAATACATCTGTTATGTACGGTCGGTTTTGGATACAGGGTATATCCCTCGGGAAATATGTGTATATCCCTCGGTCCCTGCGGTCCCTCGGGATATACACATATTTCCCTTGGGATAAAACCTGTATCCAAAACCTCCCAGTACATAACCCTTATGTATGCTGTATTATCTCAGTAGATTGTAGTTTTCCATATTCTAGCCTATTATTATTGTTGCCCATTTTTTCATTTTCAAAGGATACCACCTTATAAGTTTTTATAAGATAAGATAAGATAGTTCTTTATTGTTCCGTATCTCCTTCTGGAGTATTGGTCATTTACAATAAAGAAACATGCATACATAAAATAAAGGTATAATATATATGGTTGTTTACAAAAACATGCATACAAAGACACAAAGGGTATAGTAATATTTATGAGCAGTATATAAATGAGATAATCATATTGCTTGCTTACTTGGCATCACCTTTCTTTTGGAACCATTTCAGTAAATCATTTTTATTTCTCAGTATTTTATGAGTGTCAACAGTAAGGTTCATTTTGTTTAGGAATTCACCCCATGGATTCATTAGTTCATTATCGTGGCTCATAAGTAGATAACTAAATAGCTGTTTGTTATTAAATTGTATAAATTGTTCTTTATTCTGTCTTATACCAAAAATAAAGTCTTTACGTATATTTATAAGTTTTTCATAGTTGCATTCGAAAAGTACATGGTACT